CACGGGCTCTAGGCTCACAAGATTCAGTAGTTGTGGCACACGGGCCCAGCAGTTGTGGCTCGCAGGCTGTAGCGCGCAGGCTCAGTAGTTGTGGCGCACGGGATTAGTTGCTCTGCGGCATGTGGGATCTTCCCGGACCAGGGCTGGAACCCGTGTCCTCTGCATTTGGTAGGCGGATTCCTAACTACTGCGCCACCGGGGAAGTCCCCCAAACACTTTCTTAATGATTCAGGTCAAAGGAGTAGGCCTAAACTCAGTTTGGAATCCCTTTAGTTACCGGGTTCCTGCAGTCATAGGGGAAATTTAATTGCTCTGTAAATTCTTCATTAAAAATTTGGTACCTTTCACACCTGTCCTTGGTGAAGATCAGCATTTTCTTCCTTTCATCCTCTGGGTTCTGTTTATTGAGTAAATGCTTTTGTTCTAAGAGAATATAAGTTCAAGTCTTCAGAATATAGGTTCAAGCCTTTGTTCTAAGAGAATATAGGTTGAAGGTTCATGATTCCTGCAACATATTTTCAAATGGTTTGGCATAAATAATCAGTATAAAAGTATACACATACAGCAAGGACCTACAATATAGCACAGGGAACTATACTCAGTATTTTGTAATAACCTATAAGGGAAAAGAATCTGAAAAAGTATATATATACATATATATATATATATATATATATGTATATATATATATCTGAATCAGTGTACTGTATACCTGAAACTAACATGCCATTATAAATCAACTATACTTAAATTAAAAATAAATAAATAAATAAATGTATGCACCCACAGGAATAAAGCAGAAGTGGCAAAATGTTATCGTTTTGGTGAATCAAAGTGAAGCATTTATGGGAATTTACTGTTCTACTCTTGCAGATTCACACTTTTTCAAATAGAAAAGTAAAAACAAACAAACAAGCAAACAAACAAAGAAAACCCCTGATATGTGAGGTAGTAGAAAGAAGGAGGTTCTACTATCAAAGTATGAAATCTTAAAATGAGATGGCAATAAAAATTGTTTTGAATTTTTCCTTAAAGAAAATGTGGTGGACATAAGGTTGTAGCGTGAGTCATTAGGAAAGGGTATTTGGATATGATGGAACGCACTATTTACATCTTTGTTAAATGAGGTGGATGATACTTCTCTCCTCAGGGTGTTTTTCCATCAGTGATGATGCATGATTCCAGATTTAGCCACACAATGTCAGCTGATGCCTCTGGTTACCAAAAAAGAAAAAGAAAGAAGGAGAGAGGGGCATAATCAGGACGGTGACAATAAAGGTATGCTTTTTCATAATGACTTAGTCTGAGTTGGCTGATTCATCAGCACTGAGCTCTAAGCTGCTTGGCTAACTAGTCCCAGATTGTGCTGAGAGAAAAAAAATGCTTCCGTGGCACTCAGTGCTTATGAGACCTAATAGTTCATTGTAGTGGATCGTACCTTGGAGACCTCCTTGTTGATTGCTGCTTCGGACTGAGCTGCGTCTTCCCAAAATTCCTATGTCAAAGCCCTTCCCCCCCAGTATGATGGTATGTGGAGAATGGGGCCTTTGGAAGGTAATCAGGTTTAGGTACGTTCATGAGAGTGGGGCCCTCATGATGGGACTAGTGCCCTTATAATAAGAGACACCAGAGAGCTTACTCTCTTTCTCCCCTCCATGTGAGGACACAGTGACAAAGCAGATAAATTCAAAATAATGTGCAAGTGATAACATATGGCTATAATTATGTAATATTTATTTATTTATTTATTTTGGCTGTGCTGGGTCTTAGTTGCAACACACAGTATCTTCGTTGTGACATGCAAGATCTTTAGCTGTGGCATGCACACTTCTTAGTTGCAGCATGCAGACTCTTAGTTGCGGCATGCGTGCAGGATCTAGTTCCCCGACCAGGGATCAAACCCGGGTCCCCTGCATTGGGAGCACACAGTCTTACCCACTGGACCACCAGGGATATAATTATTCAGAACATAATATACCTTGCTAATGTGAACTAATGTTCTGTAGACTTCAGTAATAAAAGAAAATTAATTGCACATGTGGGCTCTTTATTTATTTAACATCTTTATCTCAGTATAATTGCTTTACAATGGAGTGTTAGTTTCTGCTTTATAACAAAGTGAATCAGTTACACATATACATATGTCCCCATTGCTCTTCCCTCTTGCGTCTCCCTCCCTCCCACCCTCCCTATCCCACCCCTCTAGGTGGTCACAAATCTCCAAGCTGATCTCTCTGTGCTATGCGGCTGCTTCCATGTGGGCTCTTTAAAAGACCCCGTATGCCAGCAACGAAGATCCCTTGTGCCGCAACTAAGACCCGGTGCAGCCAAATAAGTAAATAAATAAATAAATATTTTTTAAAAAAAAGTATACGGGAGGATGTGTGTAGGTTATATGTAAATACTACTCTCATTTTTTAAAAAAAGTTAAAACTAAAACTATTATATTATGTGCAGAAGGGGTGACTTGCATAGGATATTACACATGTACACACGTATATCAGCCAGTACAGAAAGGTAGGAACAGTTTTATCTTTTGAATCTTTTGCTATACTGTATTACCAAGAAGATGGTGATAAATAAAATTACAATATAAACTAAAGTCACGCCACAGTATATTTTAACACTTTCACTTTAGAAAAACATAACACAGTTTGGCTACATAGGAAGAATAACACTGTATGCTAAATCTCATAAGAAGGCTGAATATCTCCATGTTATTCTAAGAATTGTCAATTCTATGCATATTTCTTGTACTAGAGGGGAAAAAAGGAGTATTAAAGATAACAGCAATAAACATCTTTCAAAAATTTCTAAATGATTTCTTAAGAAAATGATTTTAATTACTATAAGATTCTCAGTTTATGATTGAAGTGGTTTTCATGTTATGTTTTATATTACACTGAACTATGCAACTTATCAGTATATCTTCCAACCCAATTTCAACCTTCCCTACATCTCTGAAGCTGCCACTGAATTGGTCCTGACTCTACCTAATGGATAATGGTCTGAAATGGATGGATAGATTAAGGAATGAGGTCATATATTGTCAACTGGGGGAAAGAAACAAAAAACAAAACACAACATAAGAGCTGTGAGTTATGTTTTATTTGGGGCAAAATGAGGACTATAGCCTGGGAGACAGCCTCTCAGATATCTCTGAGGAACGGCTCCAAAGAGGTAAGAGGGAAGGTCAGTATACATGTTATTTTAGTGAAGGGGGGTACGTGCAGTCAAGCACACACTTTGATAGGTTACTGCTGGTCACAAGAAGTTTGCTGCTACTCCAAAGGAGCAGAGGTCTCCATTAATGATTTTAGTGCTTTTCTAGATATGAGAAGATGCAATAATTTGGGCTCATAAAATCTCCTGAAAAATATCTAACTGTCTGAAGGCCTGTTCTGCCAGTTTTTCCCAGAGCACAGAGTGTCTCGTTCCTGATCTCCACCCTGAACCCCGTTAGGGTGTGTTGAATGTCAGTGACTACAGTGGCCAGCGACCTAATCCTCGTAGAGGGAGATGGCGAGTGATTATTTTCCATCCATGTAAAACTTCCGTTGCATTTTCACTTGCCACACAGAGTAATCAGATGAATTCAGTGGGTTTAGGCATAGATTAAGCAAGATATTTAAACACCTAATTGAAATAGTCTCTTCTATTTGGTCATACTTTGTCACCGAATTACCCCAATGTTTTGTCCTACTGAAATATACACGTTAATTATATGTATCAATGATATATGTGAGATATAACTCATATTTTATGTCAAGACAAGAAAAATTTAAACAAAAAACTCTTCTGTGCCCTTTGGCCTCCTCTCTCCCCCAACTGCACTGTGCACCTGTATCATGCATCAACCAAACCTGCCCCACTGGGAGCTGCTCAGCCATAAAGACCAGTATTCTCCTAGTATCAGTAAAATGACTCCTGAAAGATAATATTCCTTCTTGATCTCATAAGGGGTCACATGGTGCTTAGATCTGGATTGTGTAAACTGTCAATTATATGCAACGTATAGTCCTCTGTCTCGAAAAACATATAACTGTGCCTTGATTCCTAACAGGTGGAACAGTTCTCAGAGCTTTCTGAGATGTTCTTCCTGGATTATAATCCTCAAATTTGGCTTGTATAAAATTTTCCATTCCTTTCTTAGATCAATCGATTAATTTTTTGTCAACATATACTTATATATATTATATGTATATGAAAGCTTGAATAGATTTATAACAAATATTTTTAATAAATTTGATTGATATGTCTTTTGCCATATTTGTGGGTACATACTAGTTAATTATTTTATCTTTCCAGAAAATTCAACTTTTTTCATTACAAAGTGACATTCCATGTTTTAGTATGAACTTTTTAGTATTTTGTGTTAAAGTCTATTTTGTTGGATATTAAGAAAGCCACATGGGTTTCTTTTTTTTTAAAATAAGTTTATTTTATTTATTTATTTTTGGCTGCTTGCATCTTTGTTGCTGTGCGTGGGCTTTCTCTAGTTGCGGTGAGCGGGGACTAAGTTGCAGTGGGTGGGCTTCTCATTGCGGTGGCTTCTCTTGTTGCACGGCACGGGCTCTGGCACGTGGGCTCAGTAGTTGTGGCACAAAGGCTCTAGAGCTCAAGCTCAGAAGTTGTGGAGCATGGGCTTTGTTGCTCCGCGGCATGTGGGATCTTCCCGGACCAGGGCTCGAACCCGTGTCCCCCGCATGGGCAGAAGATTCCCAACCACTGCACCACCAAGGAAACCCACATGGGTTTCTTTTTAACTAGTGTTTACATGGTCTTTTTCTTTCTTTCCTTATATTTAAGTTGGTACATATTTTTAATATAAATAGGGCATTTTAAAATATTTTAAAAATTAAGTTAATATAATATTTATATAGTTAAATATTATATATTAAATATTATATTTAATGTTTTAATATAATATTTTTATATAATTTTATGTAAATTTTTAATATTTTATATTATTTTAATAATCTGAAAAACTTTAATTTAGAACAGTTTAGTTCTTCTAGATTTAAAGTAATTACTAGGGAGTGCTGCTGGCATCTAGTAGACGAAGGCCAGGGATGCTGCTAAATATCTGACTCTAAGCAGACAGGGTAGGGAGTCTCCAGAGGAAAAGAACCAGATATAGCTTTCTGACGTAAGAGAGGCCATTTTAGGCCTAAGCCATTTGTGATCTAAGCCTGCCCACAATGGTTGTCCTTGAATAGGTCTCAGTAATAATGACCTGAAGGGTCAAGGGCAAGAGAAGGAACAATAGCAAAGATAATAAATCAGATAATAAAGACTCCCAGGTTTTTTTCCCCCCAATGGTAAAGATTACATTTTTGAGCTGTTTTGCAGAATTTAAACCCCCTCAGGTGCTCAACCACTAGATCAATTGGAACCAAAGGGATGACGATGTTGACCTTTTCTGACCCTCCTGACTCCAATCAACTAAAGCGTGGACTCTGTTGACCTTTGCCCTAATTCTATGCTCAATTCTTCTCAGCTCAAGCTCCTTCATGAACATGCAGGTACCCTTAACTTAAATCTTCCTCAATTTTGCTGTTTGGAGAGACCCTGCTTGGGAAGGGTCCCCAGTGTTCTCCTTTCTTGCTGCAAGCAATAAATCCTCCTTCTCCCACTCTTTGGCTTGGTTGTGTCTTTTGGGGGCTCGACACCCACCAAGAGGTGAACCCAGTTTTCAGGTAACACCACCATGCTCAGGACAGCCTCCCACAGCAAAGAATTATCTGGTCCCAAATGTCAAAAGTGCTGGAGATTGAGAAACTCTGGGTTAGAGAGCATTAGTTGATCCCCAAAACATGGAAAAGCTATGTGACACCACATACTCATTCCTACTCGATTGATAATATCAAATGACTGGAAAAAAGCATTCATGTCCACCTTTAGAAAAACTATTAAGTCAGTTGTGATGCGGGCCTGTAAGGGAACATTGTACAACCAGTGAACATTATATAAAGGTTAACTTAAAAAATGGAAATGCTAATCATATAATGTTGAGTAGATAAGTCGAATTTGCAGATGTTAGTGCAGTGCACTCTGATAATAACCATGGGAAAATATGTCTAAGATAAAAATACTGTGAATAAACTCACCAGAATGCTATTATTATTCCTGTGTTAGGGTGGTGAGATCATAGATTTTCAAAAACTATTTTTCTCTATTGAAGATGAGTATATAGATTTTTAGAATAATTTTCCTAAAGATTTACGTCTCTTAAACTTGTTCTTGTCCTCATTTCTCTTTCTAATGTAGGATCTAGATCTATTCCAAATTTGTGGAATTAATTAGATAATTAAGAGGAACCTCAGAACTACAAGGAATGATCAAAGAAGTCATCTGACACATCCTACAAAGAAAAGGAGGATTCCCAAAGATATGAAAGAAGAAAAGGCGTGAAGGTAATTGCGACGTGATAACATTATTTTATGGGCTTGGAATGAGGAAAGCGTGCTCTGTTTTACATCTAGATTTGGAGAAGCAAATAGCTCTAAGAAAAGGAATGCCCTGGGTGGGCATAACCGTCCAGCAATGCTGTGAGCAGATTTCCTTGGCTTCTCAGAGTACAAAATGCAGAAATATGTTGCAGTGGAAAGTTCCGAGACCTGGGTCCTTGCTCTGACTGAAAGAGCTCAGCAGCCTCCCACATATGGCTCCATCTGTCTGAACAGGATTCTAAAATGAGGACTGTGTCATCTCTGTGTCTTTCCCAGTTCTGCAATTCATTCATTCATTCAACAAATTTTTATTGAGCACGCACTGCATTCTAGGCACTGCTCTAGGTACTTGTGGAGGTAAAAACAAAACAATAAAATGAAACAAAATCAGAATAGGACATGGTTCCCGATCCCCAAATAAGCATTTGAACCCTATTTTAGGAGTGGGGGTAGGAGTAAGACAACAGTCGAAAGGCTTTGTTTTGAAGTCACCTTTACAAATAGGTACGTGAAATATACTTAAAGAAAATAACCATGCCCCTTACTAAGACAGTCAAAAGGGAGATCATCATTCTGTCCATTAGTGCTGTTACAATGTTCAGTAAATTAAAAAGCAGTTACAGAATTTTGGTCGCTGCCTAAGAGAAACACATGTTCTAAGGATTCAAGTGAGATAATTAAGATGAAGCAAAAAATGGTATGATGACCTAGTTGAGAGAGAAATACCCTGTATCTTGAATTTAGATCCTTTATTAGATCTTGGTTCTATCCCTTCCCTGTTATCATTATTTCCATGTTCATTCCCCAAATGGACAAGAGTGTCATTCTAACATTCTCAAATTACCTTCTCATAAGAGGGAGTGAAGAATGTTCAGTCTGGCCGAGACTTCCTACTAGGTGCCAAAACCCAAACCTATATTTAAGGTTGACATAAGTCTAGACCAAGACACCCACTAGTCACATACCATAATGTAAACTTTGCCAGTGACATGCTCAGTGCTTTAAGTCAGTCTGTAAGTTTTAGAATTCTAACATAGTTTCCTTTTCTCCGCTTATTACTGAGTCCTTGTATATTCCTAGACCTTCTCTTAATAAAATTAAAAAAAAAAAAACAGCTAACACATACCAGACATTTGCTTCATGCCAGGAACTTTGCAAAGTACCTTACATACATTATGTGATTTTTAGTCTTCACCAAACTGCTACAAGATAGACACCGAAAGTAGATAAGAAATTAAGAAGTAGCTAAAAGTAACATAATAGTAGTAACAGGGAACACACACAGTAAGGTAGCAATGTATATAGTTTTGAAATTATGTCACTTAAAAACATAACCTTTCACTTACTGTACAACATCTGAAATCATGGCAATCACTCCTGTAGTGGATGGGCTGCTGCACTGCGGGGATCCCCACTTCAGGCCTTAATTCACCCGCTTGCTGGGAGTGAAATGGGCTGACAGACCTCAGATCAGTGTCTCTCCGGAGATCACCTCATCTGAAGAGAGCTGCCCTACCGAAGACCATACGCCCTTCCCTCCAAGGACTGGTTACAACAGGGGAATGAAAGCCCCAACATTGGACGACCTAGAAGAGCCATCTCAGCTTCAGAGCATCCTGGAGGGTTGATTGGGGACTTCTTAAAACAGCATCCTTCCCTTCTTGTAAGTATTGGTTCCGACACCATTCCTTAACAAACCTCTCAAATGCTCATCTCCACCCAGAGTCTGCGTCCCAGGAACTAAACCCAACCCAACCCAAAATGTGTCAAGAATCCCATAATTTCAAAGCATGGTCAGCCAAGTGATTATAAACTGTGTGAATGAATGAATGAACTAGCTACAAGGAAGCCCCTCTGTGGCCAGTAGATAGAAATGCCCTCCATCCTTTACCTGGGTCAGTCTTAGATGATCTGAGGGCTTGAGGAACATATTCCTTGCATAAAACGTATTCACAGCGCTAAGTGCCTCACATGAGCAATCTCGTTTTATTCTTCTCACAACCCTATGAGGCAGATACTATTTTGTTCCCATTTTGAATGTGAAGAAACTGAGGATTAGAGTGGTTAATATCATGTCAAAGGTAAGTAAGTGGGATGCAGAGCTGTAATATGAATCCATGTCTTTCTGACCCTAGAACCTGTGTTCTAAAGCTGCCTTGCTATAGTGTCTCACTGGCTAGTATATCTTGGTTTCCTCCACAGTTCCTTATGCATAGAAATAAATTAATGCTTTTTCCTTGATTTGTTGATTTGGCAGTACTTAAAACAGGCCTTTCCATGAGGGTGGTCAAGCATTTAAAAATGACCTTAAGCTGACTTGAACTGTGCACATAAACTCTACTGTGTTGCTCTGCCTTATAGGGATTTAACTGGCTACTTAATAAGGTGGGGAACCCCAATTCCTTATTTGTATCTGAGGCCACAGGCTAGGAACCAACACATAGTACACTAAGATGCATTTGCTGGTTGAATGAATGAATAAATTAATGAATAAGAAAAACTTCTTCATTTCAAAATTTTAACAGAGAGGGGAAGAACGCTCCTTTACATTTTACAGAGGATTATTGTGTGTGCAGATTTGCCAATCAATGTTTTAGTAGACTGACCTTATGTGTCACCAGAAGAATAATTACTAAGCACACAGAAAACTGATGTTCAATTTTGAACTGAGACGAATAGTAAATGTCGATTAATACTGTACAGAGTCATAGGTTTTAATCAATTCAACTGAATACATGCTGAGCTTACATATAAGATAACGTGAAGATCCAAACTTGATATCAAGGAGATTACATTGTAAAATTATGAGGATGCACACACACACAGATCTTTAATACAGATAACGTGATAAATGCTAGAAGGCAGACAAATAAAGGACTGTGGGAGGAGCCATGAGGAGACTGATTTGGTAAGGGAGAGGAGATAAAGACTTCATTTTGTAGACTGACCGAAACACACTTCTGAACAGTTACTCCCCTACTCAAGAACTTTCAAGAGCTCCCTGTTGCCTACAAATACAGCGAAAACCCCTTGACATGGCCTTGAAGACCCTGGTTTGCTAGGACACCATCCTCTAAGTGTGGGGTCATCAATTCATCCTGGTTTTCCCAGGACTTACCCATGTTAGTATTGAGAGTCCTGCTTCCCTGGAGAGCACCTCAGTCCCAGGCAAACCAGGACAGGTGGTCACCCTAACAACACATTTCAGTGTTTGAGGAGGCCAAAGTGAGCCTCTCTCAGATGCCTGCAAACTTACCCTGCTTTCTCACTTCCAAGTTTTTCTTCTTGCCTCATTTCCTTTCCCCAGCCTTGTATTCCAATCCACCTCATAATTCAAGAACCATATTCAGTATCTCCATCACTAAGTCTTGATGATGATATTACCTGTGTTAATACCACTACTACTAATAATAGCTAACCTTTATTAAAATTCCTGTAGCATTTTAAGTGGATCTTCGTATTAATCTTCACCCTCGATCATGTAAGTTCTACAGTTATCCCTATATTACAGAAGCATAAAGTGACGTTCAGAGAGAATATTGTAATTCATCCAAAGTGAGCTAGCTGACAAGCGGCAAGGTGGAGATTTAACTCAGATCTAACACAGCACTCCATGCTTCTCATCACAATGGTACACATCGTCTCCCTTCCTAGATTCTTCCTGGGTGAAATTAACACCACCTGTAAAATGAATGCTTCTTTGGCCACTTAACACTACAATACACGAAGAGCAATGTCCACTTGACTTGTTTCGGCTCCCATGCTAGGAGCTCCTTGATACCAGGAGCTAAGTCCAAGTCATTTCTTAATCCCCAAGAGCATGAAAGAGACATAAAAATATATGTTACATGAGAGACTAGATGTGTGGACAAGTGGAAGAGATTTTTAAACTGAGCCTTAAAGAAAGAGTAGGTTTTAGATGGAGAGGATATGCCAAGCAAAGTGAATACTGATACTAATTTTTATTACTAAGAATGTCTGGTGAATTCTTACTCTGCATCAGACCGTATGGCATCCCATGCTCATAAATAACCTATGGAGAGAAATGCTCTTACTATCCTTGTTTTTCCTGTGGGGAAATCGAGGCTCAGAGAAATGAAACCAGTTGCCCGAAGTTACATAGCTGGTAAACGGCAGAGGCAGATTTCAGCCTCACCCTTATGTGACTCCCTAGCAAGAGCTGTGGATTCTGAAGAGAGGGGAGAAATTACAGGGCGTGCCGGCAAAAGCGCCAAGTCAGCTGGTTTAGATGAAGCACAGAGGACACGAAGAGGATGTTAATAACAATAAGGATGATAATGTTGGTGGGTCCTTGTTTTGTCAACCCCTCGCATTCCCTGTGGCATTGGAAGGTGGGCACACCCAGAGTTCACACTTGAGCACGTTATTGACAAAGCGCTTTTCACGGTCACCTCTCTCGTTTACTCCTCACAACAACCCTTTAAATAGGTAATGTTATTATCCTCATTTTTGAATCAAAGAAAATGAGGCTTAGAGGACTTGGGTGGCTACTGAAGCTTGATGCCTAGAAAAACATCTTCCAGGTTTGTGACCACCACCAAAAGCTGATCCCAACAATACCATCCCAGCACACACCGCACCCGCGCGCCTCCCCCACGTGCGCCTTCCAATCAAGCTTCTCAAAGAGGTTTCAGCTGAAGCCCATTCCAGCAGGCGGCGTTCCAGAGAGCAGGAACCGTCTCCACTCTTCCTCCGGAGATTCTGCATTTGTAAGTAATTCACCGTTTTTTAGGGGGGAAGGGGACCCCAACTGCTCTCTGGGTGTGTTCCTCTTACTGAGGCGGCCCTGTGTGGTGACACGTGATGTGCTAGACGGAGGAAAAGGGCGGTCTGGCTAGGTCCCCTCACTGCTGGCTTGATCCCCACCAGCCGAATAAGATGCAATGAAAGTTGCCAAGAGTACTCTTTAGCTCACAGCAGTGTCCCGTTGGTGAAGAGGCCGCTGCTGGAACTCTGGTCAGCTGAAAGGCTTGTCTTTGAGACCAAAGAGAAGGTGAGGGTGAGGCCTCAGCTCGGATGAGAGCTGGCGGGAGAGCCTGGCCGCCTACCCGACTGTCTTCTGCCATGTAGCGCTGCTCGCGATGAAAGGTCGCGCTTTTTTTGATGTTATTCTCTCTTCTGTGGGCTAAGAATCCAGTTATGTGTTGCAAGGTGTATTCTTTGTGGTACATGAAAGGCTAGTCATCTCCCGGTGCTTTTCACTTCTTTTGAAATTTGGCAACGTCTTGATCTTTCGGAAGATGAGTTTTGATACTCCAGTGCGTGGAGAAATAAAAGTAAACCGAGGTGGGTTTCAGATATATTTGTATGAATATGAACTTCTTGGAATCAATTTCAGTTTTTGAGTCGGCCCTTTGACGATACGATGCAGACTCCTTTAGTAGAATCTCGCCTGTGGTCCCTGTCGTCTGGCTTCTCAGAAATCGGTCCTTTTTATACAATAAGTATTTGGTTTGACAAAAATGAAGTTGGAAAGCTCCAGAGCAATTTTTGAACTTTGGCCTTCAGTCTTAGAAACAGGGTTTAGTGAACATTCTGAGGAAAAAGATGATGCTCTGCACTTTAGAGCTTCCTTGGGAGAAATAATGAGAATATAGCTGTTGTTCCTGTGTACAGATACAGAAGAGCCCTTAACTTCCCGGTTTTATTTTCCTGGAGTCTCCCCTAGCTTCTGAGTGTTGTGTGTGTTATGCAAGTGTCCGGAGGCTTGTTTCCTTGACATTTGAGCTTTGCAAAAGAAAAGGTTTATCTCTGTATGATTACTGTTACTTATTCGTATTTATTCAGGAACTATGCCTATAAAGTTACAAATGTGTTGGAATGTAAATAGCAAAAGCACTATATAAGTCCTTATATTTGAATCCATTTTTTCAAAGTCGTTTTAAATTGGTTCAGTTAACTTACTATTACAATGAACTATTTTATGCACAAGCTTAAATTTATAGTAGCTTTAAAGATATCTTTGGAATTTTCACCTCACTTTCCTGTCTTGGCTATAAACTCCTTGAAATATGCTAGTGCCTTTTCTGGTTACCCCACAGAGCACAATGGGTTTGAGAGTCTGGTTGAAACAGAAAATCCTAATGGGCTGTTGATCTTCGAATGTTAACAAATGTCACTTCTTACAAGTGGAAACAATTTTATTGAACAACTTTATTGAAACAGATGGTTATCTGTAGTCTGGGGGCGGGGAAGAAAAGCTTCCCAAATTATTAAAATTTGATGTTGAAGAAAATTTTAAAACCATATGCATATGTCTCCAGAAAGTTAATCTAAAAATGATAGCCTTCCTAGATTCTAGGAGGACCAACAGCAGTTGTAGTTTTCAAGGATTCCTGCAGATTATGCTGAGTACTACATAAATGACTACAGCTGGAAAGGATATTCAATCTGTGTTGGGGGAATGTCATCGTGTAATTATTTCTCTTCCTGTGGATATATTGTGATTTTTATTAGATGCGCATTGTATTTATAAGAACAGTAATTTTTTACTTATAAGTACATTGAAGATAAATCGTTTTATAGAACCATTTGATATATTTGTATTAAAAGACAAAAATATATATGAATTTATTTGGGATTAGTTTTTTCTTATAGAATGCATTCACCTGTTTGCTATATGGGGTTATTGCATGCACTGCCTCAATTCAGCATGGCCCTAAAGAAACAGTCCCCAAATAAATGATGATGGTAGTATTGATAATAAGAGAGGTTTACTAGATGCGTGGCACTCTGCCATAGTATCGGTGTGTATTATCTCATTTAATTTGCACTCAATCCTGTGAGGCGGAATTGTTAATCTCTACTTGACAGATGCAGACTGAATTTTTTTGACTTCAGTACTTGCAGGTGGTGATGAAACACTTAAATGAGGGCGATGCATTCATTCCCAGGAGGTTCTGGATCGTTATGTTCTCTTTCGTTTGACTTGCCCTTTCACCTTATCCTTAGTAACTCAGTGAATTAGAGCAGGTGATGATGAAGCCAGTCACTGGTTGGATCCTTAACTAGTTACTTTTTTGGTCTGTTTTCATAATTTCCTGAAGACATGGAGTCTATGCTTGACTGGAGAGAATTAGGATGTGGCCAACATGGGCTCAGTGTTTCCTCAGGCAACAATCAGCTGCCTGGATGAGGTGCAGCTGCCTCCTGACTGCCTTTAGTGCCTCACCTTACCTCCGTGGTCCCTGGTGTCATTTGCTTTGTGCCCATGCTTTATTCCAAGTTCTCCCGAAAAGCAAGTTAACTAAGCAGCAAATATTTGTCTATGAGAGGTTTTGAATGTGTTAAACTCTGGTGTCTAATACATTTAGTTCATGTGATTTGTTCCTTTACTTATTGTTTGAAAACAATGAAAATTATATAAGATAACGTTTTAAAATGGTCATGGAATGCCGG